TTGCCGTTGGCACTATCACAGGAGGGCTGACACTCAATCCTGTTATTCTTGGTGTAATAAACGGAGCAGGAGTAATTGTGGCTGGAATTACAAAAAAGAAGGATTTTAAGAAGAAGATAGAAACATCAAAGCTGGCTTATACTACTTACGAGAAAGTATTAGTAGAACTTCGATCAGCACTCAGAGGAGATGAGTGGAATAAGGAAGAGTTTGTAGATCGTATTAAGATTCTGGATGAAATGATAATTGATCAATGTCCATCGAGTGCTGATAACTTTGTAGAAAAGTATAAAAATAAATTTAATGTATAGTAAAACAATCCCTCCCTTAAATATAAAAATGATTTCAATATTAAAATAAATATTGAAATTAATTTATTAAATAAGATTTTATTTTTAAAAAAGTATTACATTTCAAATTATAATTTAATCTTGACTGATCTGGTAGTTTGCTAATTTTATTTATAATATAAATATTATCATTTATTTTATCAAGATCTTCTCTATCTAAGAAAACTTCTGGTTTTAAAGTTGTTATATAATTATTAATTTCTTTAAACATATCATCATACATTTTTATATTTATTTCATCTTTATTATAAAATTTAGCATTATGTAAAGCTCTCTTATATCTCATCCAGTTTGATGAAGAATCAATAAATTTTTCATCTTTAATATCTAAATATTTTTTGTAAATATCAGGATTATTTTTACTTGTATATTTTTCAAAAGAGTCAATGATAAATAATCCTTCTTTGATTAACTTTTGTTCTCTTTTTTTAAGAATATTTTCCATTTTATATAATAATTTATATTCTTTAATTTATTTTTCAATTCTATGAAATACTTTTAAATGAGTGTTTAGTGTTTTTTTACTACAAAATGCTTTTGGGCAGTATTTACAAAGAATACGAACACCACTCATATATTTATGTAATTTCTTACTAATATAATCATAATCATTACTTAGAATATGTGCAAAATCATTAGCTTTATATTTCTCTTTAGTCTTTAGCTGAGATTCTGTTATACAATAGTAGTTTGTGGGTGATTTGAATTCAATACACAAACCTTTGTAGTCCTTGTGATAATCTAGTATCATTATATCTGGTTGCCCGCGTTGAAAACCTTTCTTATAAGAATCTAGTCTCTTTTCCTCTGTATCTTGATTTTCTCCCAGTCCAGCTACTAATATAGATTCAGGATAATAATTTCTAATTAGTTGAACAACTTTGTAATGAAGATCTGTCTCATTTTCTATTTTGAACATTTTGTTATTTGGGTTGTCAAACATTTTATAAATTCCATATTTTCTTATAGATGGAAGAACTTGTGATGTAATCCAATGTTTAAACTTTTTAGCTGATTCTAATTTAGATGATAGTAAAAGTGAGTAAAAACCAGATTCATTTATGTAAAATGATTGTTGTAAACCCCCCCGTCGTTTTGACGGCCCCTTTATATTTATCCTCTTCCTCAACATGTTTTCTAATTGCTTGATTAGTGTCTTGATATCCGAGAATCTTAGCAACATCTTTTCCAAGAAACCAAACATTTTGCTGTTTGTCAATAAATGATTTTAACTCAATTCCTAAATCTTTATTTTTATAACTTTTTTCAATCATGTTTGTCATTTTATATTAAATTTATTTTCTTAAAGCTATAATTCAATTTTATTCTAATCATTTATCTTTAAAAACAAGTTTATAAAATCCTGGTTCATTAATTATTATACAATTTTGTTCTCCTCCAAGGAGGCCCTGAATTGAGGCCTCCTTTTTTTTATTCTAAACATAATATAGAAAATGATTAGTACAATAGTAAATTATGTTAATCTTTACTTTCCAACTTATAAAACTCCTCTTTACCCAGATAATTACATTAAAGCTTGTCTGGTATACCAATTTCTCTATTCAAAATATTTTATACAAAAATTAGATATAAACCAAATTATTTACAAACTGACAGAAGCAAAACACTACTTAAATTCTGATTCAAATATAATTACCAATCATCTAATATTCACCCTCGCTTTTAAAGCTTTCTGGAAACACTACCACATTGGAAGAGGATGTGTATATGCTATAAACACACCTTTCAAAAAATGTGAAGTACTTGGTTATCTCACTGGGATAATCTACTGGTGTTTTCATAAAGGATTAATATAAACATTAAATAAAATGTTAGATGAAGTAGTTATAAAGAAAAAAGATTTATATCTTTTTGCTAAAGATTTATATCTTTTTGCTAAAGATTTATTAAAAGAAATATATGCTTTTTTTCAAAATGATTATATCACTGAATCATTTCCAGAAATGAAAGAAGAAAAAACAAATTTCCTTAATCGACTTGTGTTTAAACATATTCTTTATTTAAACAAAAAAGGAGAAAAAGAAAATGAAATACATAAACAATTTTTAGAATGTTTTTTTAATAAAAAAGAATTTGAACAAATCTCAAAACTTGCGGATGAAGCAATTAAATATGATTGTTTTGGTTTAGGGGGGATATATTTCATTCTTAATGAATTAACTATACATGAACAAATTGATGATGATTTGATGTTTAAAAAAGAAGCATTTATAAACTTATATAGTGTATTTTATATTGGGCATGAAGAGTTATTAAAATATGATAACAAAACTCCTTCCTCTAAAATATCATATATTTTAAGAGAACCTATTATTTCTTCATCTTAAATTTTATATTTTTAAAAATATAAAATTATTTATTTAACCCTTTATAACAATTCCACCATTTTTCATAAATCTCTAAAGTTATAGAACTAATCTTAAGTTCAATAAGTTTAGACTTTTTACAACCCATCTCCTCCAAAATTTTTTTAGTTAAATAATTAATATTTATCATTCTCTTTCTGAAGTATTGCTTGTTTAGTATTTCCATGATATGATTATCTATTTTTGTTAGTTTATCGTAAAGTTCACATT